ATTCAATTTACATTATATAATCAGTCTCAGTGGCAAAATCAGTTATTAGTGTTTTACTACTATTGTTATAATATGGATGTAAGAAGCATCAGTAATGGTAACTAAAAAAGGGTAAATGTATTGTTTTGTAGACTAAATTATGCAAATTTTAGTATTGTAGCATGTGTAATTGCATCGTATTGTTAATTAGAGTAAGTAGTGTTAGTAGTTGTATTAGTGTTGTAAATAGTTATCACTTCTGTAATTAGTAGTTGTAGTACTGTTGTAGAACAATAATAATAATAATAATGAAAATAGAAATAGTCACATTGAATTAAATTACAGTACACCACTTTATTATTCAACTGCAGCGGATATCGTCCAAATAACGCGCGAAACCAATACAAATGTACTTCGTGCGTCATTCCGGTTATTGAACATGAATTTCGTCATAACATTGTCAAAGTAGATGTGGATCCGCAGCTACCTTGGACAATATTATGACGAAATTCATATTCAATAACATGAGAGACTTGTTTCTAGTTACTTTTGATGAACTTTGGGTTTTAGGGAAAAGTCCTTTTGAAGTGCAGTGAATTTCTCTGTGATCAGTATTTACTGAGAATGGAACTAATGTATTTTCTCCGTCCATTTTTGTCGATTTTGGAACATCCTCGCTCTACTTTGACATTGATACTTACGAATATCCTTTTAGTTAATTTTTCAAATCCCATTAAATGCTCTACCTAAAGAACTCAAAGAAATCAAGTTCTGATGTAACCTCTAGATATATCAATCCATTTTTAGTTCAGGATTGTTATGTCAACTTGGGCGTTGTCTCTTGTCTACAGTTTCGTAGAACAGCAAAGAATTTGTTCGTAATCAAGTTAACTATGTGTTTCTTTGATTAAAATTGGGTTTCTCACCGGGTAATAGTTTCTGGTAACATTAAGTGTTTATTACTCACCAGTGGAGCTGTATTGTATAATTTTAAGTATAAGTTTAACACAAGTGAAAAACTCTGGTTAGCAACAGAAGTAGTGCGATGAATATACAATAATGATCTTTTATGCTACTAGTTGTTAGGAAAAGATAATCCGTTTGTGTGAAATCGACTTGAAATCGTCTTTAAGCCCTCCAAAACATATATAACCAGTAACTATAAGATTAGAATTTAGAGGAAAGTTTATCAGGTCTGTGAAATGCGAAGAAGCAGTATTGTATTGTTGTTCTTTTGTCAGAATGTATCGTATTTCGCACTTAAATAAAATATTTATTAAAAAATAAAATTCCTGTCAAACGGGAGAGTGCGTATTTTGTCTTTTGTCCCTAACTGCACTGCTACGTTAGTCTACGTTATAAACATTTAACTGCTCTGGTCGAGTTTTTAATTTCAATATGATTAAACGTTCTTTTTACGCGTTCCTGTTAAAAATGATGCAAAGTTG